CCAGTTCTCAGCTGCCATTAACCTACTGGTTCTATATAATTCTATCATCTATGGCTTTGTCTTTATCACAGTAATTCACTGTTAAGTGATTAATAAGTGTTTGTTAAATTGAATTTAGCATGCCCAACTATCACCCTAAATTTACATCTGACATTCCCCAGGCTTCAGTATGACTACTCTGACCTCAAATTGCTCCAAGCTAAGCCTAGTTTCTTTTCATACAATTTCTATGAACATTTATGAAGCAAGTGACCAAGTGTATGGCACGGTGTTAGGTGTTAGGGTTTCAAGACAAAAGGACAGGCTTTACCTTCAAAGTAGCTTACATTTTTGAGGAGGAAGGATGATGACAAGAAGACAATATGAATACCTAAAAAGTCAATATAAACACGATTCTTGAGGAGGAAGAGAGCCCAAACAATTACAGGCTTCAGGGAAGGTTTCACAGAAGAGGTCATGTCTGAGGCTTGAAGGAAGATTAAGATTCTAAGAGCTGGAGGGATCAAATGCTCTGCACAGAAATTTCAATTTTCAATTTGTGGAAGGAATCACTTGGGGAAAATATTATCAATCACAAGCCAATTCTAAAATCAGAAAGGCTTCTTATGTAGCATTCTGCTAGTAACCTCCTGCTTCCTAGGGTTACTGTGAGGATCAAATGAGATAATATTTGTAAAGCACTTTAGAAACCTATATAAATGCTGGCTACTGTTATTAGTTATTATTATTAATTGTTGTTATTATTATTACCTCTTCTTTTAACCTTAAACTAAGGTCAGGAAGTAATGTTTTATACATCTTGGGAAGACAGCATCTCTTATCTTTAATAAATAGATAATAAGTAGGTAATTACATTATCCTGTACATAGAAGATCCTTAATAAAGGCTTTCTGAATGAATAAATAAATACGGTCTTCAGATATCCCAAAGCCACATCTCTAATAACTAACATTCATATAGTATTTTAAAGGTTTTCAAAGCAGTTTACAAGTATAATCTCATTTTATTCTCAAAATAACCCTGGGAGGTAGGTGCTATTATTTATTCCTCATTTTACAGATGAAGAAACTGAGCCGAGGAAAAGTTAAATAATTTGCCCAGGGTCACAAAGCTAGCAAGTGTCTGAGGCTGAATTTGAACTCAGATCTTCCTGAGTCCAAGACGACTGCTCTCTCCACATGACCACCTGTCTATATTATATTTAGTCCATAACAAGCAAAAGAGGAAGGAAAGGGCAGTTAAGAGATGGAATCACACTGTTAAAGCTAGAATTTTTTCTTCTCGGATTTCATCTGTGTCCCTAGCACAATTTATTAATATTTGTTCTGCCATTAATTCATGAAAGCATATGTGAAAGGCACCCGATGGGGGTGCCTGTCTTAAGTCAGGCAGCTTTGTCTATCTCCTTCTCAATTCTTCTGACCTCCTGGAAGTAAAAGTACCACTGCTAAAAACTGAAGCCAGAGCCAGTTTCACTGTGTATTCCCCAAAACAAAAACCTGATACATGCTAGAGTACCTGCCCAGTCCTCCATAGCAGTGAAATCAAGCTAGAATGAAATAATTACCAACAACACAAATTGGTCTAAAACCTTTTTGTTGGCCTCCTAGGAGGCTCTCTGAAGTGATCATCACAAATGCAAATGAATAACTCACTCCCTCTAGCTCTACAGAGAGGTGCTAAAGAGGTCCAGAAGTGAAGTACTGGCCCAGCATAGATGTGAACATGAACCTGACCATCTGGCTCTATGCAACGCACTTTGATCACAAAATGAATTGCAACAAATTGAAAAGGACAAGGTTGGAGTGAATTATCTCGTTGGTAATCTGAACCTACTTTTAAGCAGTTATTATCAGGTGGCAATGTTTCCTACCATCTTTGAACAGACATTTTCCTGAAGAACTGTAATGGCTCATTAACATCCATATCCAAATAACAATACTTTTTGCACTTATATGCTGCCTTTCATCTGGGGATTTCAAAGCAGTTTGCAAATAATTAAGCCCCACACAAAGGCCCCAAGAGGCGAAGCAAGGCTAGAGAACTGCCATAGAGAGTTCAAGAAAAAGATGATAAATGATTTCTTCCCAGTAACCAGCACCATTAGAAACAGACCTTTCCTCCTACCTACCTGCATTTCTTTTTTCTTTCTTTCTTTTTTTTTTTTTTTGAGGGGAGAGGTGTCTTACAAACAGTTATAAATCTATCAGAAAACTGTGCCATTAAGTTTGGTTAGAGTCAAGATATGTATGAAGAATGTATTTGCACATATAATATCAATGCACAAAATAACTGACATTTTCATCTACCTACAGAGGAAACAGTCAAAATTTCAGAAAGAAGCACTCATTGCTAGGAATCAAATAACAAATGTGAAATATTCTAATACTTAATATGAAAAGTCTGTACGAATATAACCTTCAACTTATTTTTTTCCCTCTCAGTATTAAAAGCAATTACTCTATGGTGCTGCAGTCACACTTTTGAATTCCATCTCTATCAGACCATTTAAATACTGTCTACATTTTGAAAGCACTAAGAGGAACAAAGTAAACAATCAATCCATTTTTTAAAAATCAGAATGTTTTAAGCAAAGATCTTCTAAGTGAAAAGCATTTCTGCCACTAAAAGTTTTATGGTGAAATTATAAACTATTGAAAAACTGAATTTTTAATGAAAATGCTGACATACGTTTAACGACAGCAGCCTGAATAACAACACTGTAATTTGCAATCTTTCTTACATCCTAAAGACTGATTCTAACAAGATGTCATTTTTGACTCACATTTATTATTACCTGAAAGAATGAAAAAATGCAGTTTACTCCAGAACTGCCAGTATTTCTGTGATCAGGTTAGGGTGATCTCACAATAACCAAAGCATTTTTAAGAAAGACGCACTCTGGATTACAAAAATAGCCTGTTCCACAAAAGGAAAGAAGCATGATTTCACACTTAGTTTCTTTCATGACAGCCAGAGCCTCTGCAGCAAACTGCCTTTCCTACATGTTACATTTTAATGATCTGAGAAAATCGTTATCAGAGTTAACATCTCTAATTTTACTCTAAACAGACAAAAGCAAAATATCTCATTAAACATCATCTTCACCAGGGTTCCCACTAGGCAGGAAAGGATTTTTATTTGAAGTAATTACCCTTTTTAGTTAAATACACTCAACAGATGAAATTTACACAGAGCGTGAGAAATTCATCACCAAAGGTGATGTCTAAGAAATGCAATTCTAACCAGGGAGCACTGTTCCGATCTCAGGTTTTCTGTGATGGACCATTTAATAGATGGTTCTACCCTTGGCACACCACCAGTCTGGAAAGACTGGCTGGCAGGCTGGGTTTTCGAATACCCAGCAAAGAAATTAAAAGTCACCCAAGTATCTCAACTGTAACTTCACCCAAGTTGTAAAAAATCGTCTAAAAGAAAACTAAGTGCAAGACACCAAACATCACTTACAATAAGGGAATGTAAACACACCACCACCCAACATGAGCTAACGCTCTCTTACTACAGGAGTCAGCACTTCCTTCCTTGGGAAGGTAAGGTTCGAATTCCGAGCTAGACAGAGGTCACCAAGATGCTCATTTGTTTTCCCTCTCCTATGGTTATGTGCGGGGAGGGTGGCTAGTGAATTACAAAAGGCAGCATCTCCTTTCAAACTCCTATTTCCACTGCCGACTCCGGCCAGAGTCTCAGACTCACGCGGGGCTGGAGGAGGGGTGGGAAGGGTTGGGGGAGAAAGGCAAGCTGAGGGATCCAGAACACTTTTGATTGACAATTCCCTGGCTTGCGGGTGGGAGGCGTAAATCTTTAATAAAAATTCTTCTGCAGCAGAGCGAAGCTTAGGATTTCGGGGCGGGAAGCAGAGCGGAGCTAGGAGAGAGAGTAATAACACTTTTATACAGGAGGATGTTTAAAAGGATATCCCTCTTGAAAGAGCTTACTCCAGTTGAGATGCCAAACGTACAGTCTCTTACAGTGTTCTCTCCCAGACTAATTTGGGGACTCTCCCCCCATCCCCCACCCCTGCTTCCCGCCGTGGTCCATAATTTGCTGCGGGTAGCTCCAATTCTTCCTCCCTCCCCGACACCGGACTTGTGCATTCTCCCCACGCCTGCGGCGGCTGGAGTCCAAGCTGACCTGCGGCGGCAGCAGATAGATGACAGCTGACGCGAAAACTGCTCGGAGGTGGCCAAGTGTTGGCCAGCGGACTTCGAGCCTTGGGCTCAAGCGCCGCGAAGGGAAAGGGGAAGGTGGCGGCTGGGTAAGGGAGGAAGAAGAGGACCGGGTAAAGGGATGGAGGGATGGTGGTGTGGCGGTGGTGGCTACTCCATTCCACCGCCCACAGTTCGGGTTAAAAGGCCTGAAGATCTGACAACTGCTTTGCTCCGCTGGCACAAAACAAAAACCTCTCTCCCCAACACCTCCCCAAACCCTCCCGCACGCCTGACTTATTACCCTCCGCTCCTCCTCCCCTGCTGTTCCAAAACACCCATCGACACATGCGGAATATAATACAGATTTTCCCCTACTGCAAACGACAAGGCGATTACACACACACACACACACACACACACACCACACACACACACCACACAGCGTCCGTCGGGGAAAACCTCCCATTTCCTTCCCCATTCCCAGAAAATGTCATAAAAGCCGAAGAGGAGGATGCTCTGCAAAGAATCGCTAGCTGCACACTCAGCGAGCCGGACGGACCCCAAGAGATCTTTCCTTTTCCACTCCGGCTACGCCTGCCTCTCTTCGCCTCGCCCTCCCCTTTCTTTTCCTCCAGAACCACACAGTTCTCTCCAGCTCCCGTCCCCTCACCATTCCGCCCTTTCTCCGTCCCCCACCCTCTCCTCCAGTGTCCCTTTTCCCACTTTGGAAAGGGCTCGTCCCTTCGCCTAAGGTCAGCCACGCCGAAAACTTCCCCCGTCACCAAAGAGCCTGGCAAAAGGCAAGCCTGCAAAGAAAAAAAGAGGACTCACCTTTTCCAGGAACTTTGCGTCTTTCCCTCTCTCTCTCTCTCGCAGTCTTCAAGCTTGCAAGCACCCCCCGCCCACCCCCCGGCCCCGGCTTCGGCCGGCCAGCCGGTGTGTGGCTTTCGGTTCGGGGGTTACCAAGTGAAACCCGGCCAGACAGGCATCACATGGCAGCTCGTTCCCAGCCTCCCCAAGTCCGTAGGGAAAGGGAGGGGGTAGGGGGGAAATGTAACAAGGGAAGGGGCGAGAGAGAGGCGAGAGAGCGGGTGGAGGAGGTAGGCGGCTGCGGGGGGCCGGGGGGTTGGGGGTGGGGGTGTTTGGCTGGCGGGGAAGAATCGGTGTCACGCACGGATCGAGCTCCGCCGTGGGCTTATACTGTTCAATGCTGCTGTTTGCAGGAGGCAGTGGCGGTTGTAAGCTTGGTAGTTCGGCGGCGGCGGCGGCGGTTCTCGCAGCCCCGGCGTGCGCGGCGACGGCGGCGGCGGCTGCTGCTGCTGCTGCTGTTGCGGCTGCTGCTGCTCCGGCGGCGGCGGCTCAGGCGGCTGCTCCTCGGTTCTGTTTGTTACTCGCTCTCCCTGGCTCGCGCTCTCTCTACGGAACGCCCACACTCTCAATCGCTACATTGTTGACATTCGGGGGCTGACGTCACCTCACTCCCCATTCACAATAACTTTACGGGATTCGGGTAGCGCAGCCTCTCCAGCCACTGGGGTACCGTACGCTCAGAAACTAGCGTAAGCCGCTCCGCGAATAGCGCTCGGGGTTCGGGAGCGGGGGAAGGCGGGCGGGGGGGGAAGAGGGGAGGAGAGGGAGGGAGCCTTGGCGAAGGGGAAGAGGAGGGAGGGGAGGGCCCCGGGAGCGCGCACTCCGCTGGCTCGCCCGAAGTGGCGCGCGCTTCAAGGCGCCGCCTGCTGCCGCGGCCGCCCGCTGCTGCTTTCCTTCCCCGCGTGCAGCGGCCGCCCTATTGCTCGCGTCAGCTCGCGCTTTGTCCTCCTCGCGCGGGTTTTCACGAGGGCTTGGAGAGCTCTGCACTGCCCCAGTCCGCGCGCTGCCAGGCCTGTCCCGTGTCCGTGCGGGTACCAGCCCAGGGTTATGCTGGGGCTCCGAAATCGCATTGGACAGCAGGATGGGGGTAGGGAGAAGGACGACGAGTGGGTGTCTGTCTGTCTGGGTTTCTGTAGGTTCATTTCCTGCGTGTGTGCAAAAGAGATCCCAAAGCGTTCCCCTCAGAGCTTGGGATGTGGGGGAATGGAGGGATGACAAGGAACTTGACCTTGCCAAGAGGTACCTGGATGAGGAAGAAAGATGCTGCACAGTACCAGTGTGGCAGCATACTGCTGATCTGTCCCATTGCCACCAGGGTAAGCCCATTTACTGGGGAGCATGGAGCTAAGGACCTTTTAGCGTTTACAGTCTGTAAAGAGAAATGACTCCAAGTGGGGCTCAATTTGTCCCAGATGCAATCACTTTTTTTTAATTTAGTGTGCGTCAGAGAGTAACTGAGTGAGTATCACTCAAACTTATCTGGGACTCCCCAGCTCCAGGATTTTTTGATGAGACGTGGGCTAGATGAAGAGAATAAATTAAATCTTACCTTTCTACTTCAAACTTCCTCAGTACCAGCCTCTACTTCATTGCAAAAAGGTGTATCCAGTAGGTTTTTCCATTTCTTTCATGCCTGGTGGTTGCCAGGGTGGTGTAATTTGACTTCCAAGTGTTTTTGGTGCTCCAGTGCCAGAGCAAACCTTGATGGTGGTTTAAGATTTTAAAGGGGGTAATTAGGACTCAAAACGAAAATAAATTTGCAATAAAATAAGGTTATGTTAGTACAGGACTGGTGGCTGCAACTTTACCCTGCCAAAGCCAGGAAATTCAGGTTTCCCTAAACAGCAGTAACTTTGCCCCCTTGTGTACATGTAGTATTCTGTATTATTACATGTGGTATTGATTTTTGATGAATATTATACAACTTTGGCTCACACTGGATAGAGAAGAAACATAAATTCCCATATTAAATAGGTACCAGTATATGCTGAGGAAACAGTGAAATAATATGTGGGGAATATTTTAAATATCTATCAAAAAGTTGCATTTAACATTCATCAAATAAGGATGTCATTTTAAAAATCCTTTCCAATTGAATAAAAGGCTTTGTCTAGAATATTTCCACTTAAAATGCATAGATGTCCTAAGAAATAGGCCACCCTAAACTTGGAAGATGTTATGATAGTGAATACCTTGTTGCCTCAAAATCATAGAACTGAAGGTCATCTAGTCCACTGCTTTCATTTTACAGGTGAGGAAACTGAGGTCCAAAGAGAGGAAGTGTTTTGGCCAAGGCCACACCATTTTCCAGTGGCAGAGCCAGGACTCAAATATATGTTCCCAGACTCACAATACAGGTCTCTTTCCACACTTCCTCAAAAATGTTGCTTTTTTGATGTAGATAGAGAACAGAATTTAGAATCAGAAGACCCAACTCTGAGGTAGAAGAGATCAAAGAGGTTGATTTGTAATATACAAAAGAAAGGGATTCTGACCTAATCATAGTATTGATGTCCAATGTGATCTAGGATTTTTCACTGTTGGCAAATTCTTCTGAATTTTCCTTTGATCCTTACCCTGACCCTTCATCTGCTCCCTGGAGCCAATACTGATTATTGCATTCAATATGAACGAAGCTACAGTTTAAATCTTATTCCTAAAATAAATTTCTTAAAGTATGTAGCCTAACTCAGTAGTACCCATATTTGACTATTTACACAGAAAATCCTCTTGAAAGCTTGAGTGAATTGAAATAGCTGTTTAGTGGTGATGGAGTTCCTACTTACCTCAGAAAGAGGAGATGCTTTCCATTGCATGCAATCTTGGATAACTCGATTTTGAAATTTTCAGCCTGGAGTCATTATAGGGCTCCGGAATTGACCACTTCATTGATATCTATACTTAGTCTTGGTAGCCCCTTAATACAGCTGTTTCTTTGCCTATGTAATGCTTGTAGCACCCCTCTTTCACACCCGAGTGTGACCCAAGTGCAACTCTGTGGCTCCAAGTTCACTCAAAAGGACAGCTCACAAGCCCGCTACCAATTCATTTACATTTGCTTGAATTGGCTGGAGGACACAGTTTAAAGCAAGAGCATTTGATGAAAGAACCTAGTAAGATTTGCAATAGAACATTCCCTCCATAAACCTTACACACTCTCTTTCACAAATATACATACTACCAGTTAAATGAGTGAGCATGCATAGGATTACAAATGAAAGTCTCACATGTAGGAAATACTTGTAGAGGGCCAGCAAGGTGGTATAGCGAACAAAGCACTGGATTTAGAGTCAGGAAGACCTGAGTTCCAATCCTACTCCTGAAGCTTGCTAGCTGTGTGACCCTACAGAAGTCATTTAATCTCTCTCAGCTTCAGTTTCCTCATCTATAATATGGGGATAATCATAGCTACCCTATAGGTTTACTGTAAGGATCAAATGAAATAGCATAGGCAAAATGCTTTGCAAATCCTAAAATACTGTATTAGTATTAAATGGCATTGTTATACCCATCAGTGATGTAGGATCCCTGATATCTTCTGATGACATCATCACATTGCTATAACTAGACCCACTTCTTACTTAGCATTTTGCAGACTTTACTGGACTTGCTGGATAGACCTGTTTCTTGCTGGCTACAGGATCTTTGCTCAGCCTGCTCCTCATTAGGCACATTGCTCTTCTGGGCTTAGCTGGTCTTGTAGTTTGTACTGGTATGTTCATTTCTTCAGGGCCTTCTTAGCTATCTCTGTTAGCTAGTGGCTAAAAGCTTGCCCTAGAAAGGACAGACTGAGGGTTCCTTAGTCATGGCCACCATACTCGGCAAACAAAATCCAAGTAGAGCACCCCCAAACTTAGATTAGGTGGGGACTTAAAAAGGTCTGAGCTATAGTAGGGAGAGTGTCCCAAGGCCTACCTAGTACTTAAAGAAGTGAGATAGGAAGAATCAATAGTATAAGGGCAGCAGGTGAAAGAGAAATTAAAGGGAGGATGGAGCTATGGTAGATCAAGAAGAGCCATTGTGTCCCTCTCCCCTCTCCCTAGGATCTTGCAGCAAGGAGTCAGGTTAAAGCTAGCGGTTATATCCACCTCTTCAAAAATGTAGGGAAATATAGTTTCCAAAAAAGCTCTTTCCTCTCATACAAATCCAATGAAAGATATTGTGACATTCTGCTTGCTTCTTCTAATGTTTAAATGTTTGCTACCTGCAGATTTTTGCACCAAACATAAAGAGGCCATGTGTTAACTAAAGATTAAAAATAATTAAATTAAGACCTCAGTGTTAGGAGTTTTCTTACCTGTGGGCTCTGAGCTATTGTCATTGTACTACTAACTTTTGATTTGCTCTAAACTCCATAAGACAATAGAGGAGATCAGTTGAAGCTGAGGGCCAGTAGGCTAAAAAATTATTTAATTCTTGTAGCAGTATGGGGCTAATTGAATCTCAGGGAGAAAGGTGAGAAGCAGTAGAAGATGGTGAGAAGAGAAAAGATTGCTACATCCTAAATCTTGCCCTACCCCTCCTCCTTCCAGACAGGAGATAGAAAAGACCAGGGAAGGATTCATCTTTGCCCCTATCCAGCAGAAAGGAGGGAGGAAAAAGGATTGGCTAACCAACTCTATACTTCATTAGGGACACCCATCAGTGACCCCAATCTTCAACCTACCTTTCACAGCAAGGCATAGTGAATATGACATTGAACTTAGGGTCAGAAAGATCTGAGTTCAAATCCCACTTTAGATATTTGCTAGCTTTTTGACTCTGGGCAAGTCATTTAAGCTCTCTCTGCCTCAATTTTCTTATAAATAAACTAAAGAGGTTGGATTTAATGGCCTTTAAGGTCCCATCTTCTAAATCTATGATCCTATGTCTCTGAACTCCTAGGACTGAACTGCTATTCAGAGTCTCCTGTTATACGTAACTGTATGGTTTAGGGTTTAGATAATTCAGACAAATTCCTAAGATTCTCTCTGGCTTAGCTACATATGAATTTGAGGCAGAACAAAAGCTAAGCTAAGGAAGCAGGGTCACTAGTCTCCCTCCATCTAGCCCAAATTTTTACCTTTTTATACTTATCAATTAGTAGCAAAACCTGAGTGCTTTGGTGCCATATTTTATTCAGTGTACCCTTAATCTCCCTACAACTTCATTTCTCATAGAAATGTAGCATTCTCTAGACCATCCATTTCTTCCAAATCTTATCCCATTTTGTCCTCTG